CGGCGGCCGCAGCCAGGTCTTTGGCGCGGAGGCTGTGCACGTCGATGACCGTGGAGTAGAGGTCCCGCAAATTGATGATCTTGGTCTTCTTGTCCCTGTTCTCATGAAGCACCGCGTTGGCGCAGATGAAGAGGAAGATGCCGATGCCCATGATGAGGGGCCCGAAGACCTTGAGCTTGTCCGAGTTCAGGTAGCTGGAGAAGACCCGGAAGAAAAAACCCACAGATGGGGAGGAGGATGAAGAAGAGGGTGCGGGAACCGGAGCCGGCGGGGTGCTTCTGGTTGTGCCCCCAGAACTGGAGTTGATAGACCCCTGAGCCTCCAAGTGGCTCTTGGACTCATTTCTGTGGCCACTGCCAGTAGGCAGCAGCTGTTTACCTCCCTCCCGATGGGTCCCGTTGGCCTTGGGCCAATAGCCCACCACTGCCAAGGCTATGCCCACCAGCAGCACCAGAATCCCGCAGAGGGCGATAAGCCCTGAGATGGAGCAGAGCTTCAGCTTGCCCTTCACCACCACCACGTCATTCTTGCGCCGCTTCTTGGCTTTCCGCTTGCGCTTGGGACCCTGGCTGGGGGGGTGGAGGGGATCCTGTTTCCTGGCAGATATCCTCAGCAGGCCGCCGGTGGCGATCATGATGAGCCTGAGTAGTGCGGAGCTAGCCCCTGGGGCGGAGGTGTGTGCAAGGGGGGTGCCAGCTGCCCACCAGCTGCTCCGTCACCTCCTCCTGCTGCAAAGCAGAGGAAGACAGTCAGAGGGTGTAGGCAATATCCCAGACGCTTCAACTGCCTCCTGTTTCCCGAATTTCACGCCATGTTTGCCCTCAGAACCCCATCCACTAACCAAGGGGTCCTGCACCATGATGGCAGGGGGAGGGGGGGTGTCCATGGGTTAGGAAAGAGAGGCTTTGTTGTTATAACTGAAAACAGAGGTGATTAACAATTTGAGAGGTCTTTCTCTCCTAGCCCCTCCCCACCCATTATTGCCACCCCCCCCACCCCACACATAGCCAGCGTCATTCATTTCAAATATTCTTGGTTGGCAGCCAAGGGAGATCTTTTGACCACTTATAACAACTCAATATGGGGACTCAAGAAGAGGCCGAAGGCTTTCCTCGCAAATGCCTCTCTCCATGTCCAGCTATAATTTTTGATGCTTTCTCAAGAGAGCTACCACCGGGTCTTGGGCTCCAGTTCCCAATCTCTCGCTAAGCCAAGAAATGTGTGGGCTCTAACGTCAGGAAAACAGTCACAAATGGTTATTTTGTAAAGGCAAGAAGGATGCTTTCCACTAGATGGAAAATAAAAGGTCATACACTAAACTGGCAGGTTTATTTACTTCAGGTAATGATGGTTTATTGCTGAAAACATTACGATGGTATTTCAAAAATCTGATAATAAATCCCTTCATAAAGTCTCTCAGATTACAGCTAAAAGCCTACAACTCCACTCACAGCCTTTTCTTCACCTCTCTTCTGCAACATCTGGATAGCTTCTTGGGGTGGAATATTTAGTTTGAGGTAACTGGTTATGTAACTGAGCTCTTCCTGCTAGCCTCCTCTCATCATTTAGAGGAACTCCCTTAAAGGTATCATGTGCTTGAGCTCATCAGGGAATTGAAGAAGTCCCTTGGAATCTCCAAGGGAAAAATCTTTTTCTCATGTGGGAAAATTACAATCTTAAAAAAACACATGCACACGCACACAAAAAAACCTAACAACCACCACCGGGCACAGTGGTTGCTGACCCCTTATGAATGTGTCAATTAATGTGCACTTCTCAGAATCCCAGTACTCAAGTGAGCAGCCAATTAACTGGATCCAACAGTGTACTTATTAATGGTGACTTGTAGAATGACAGTTCTCCATGTAAAAGCTGTTGGTTTCCCCCATCATTTTCTCATGAGATCATTTTTTCAAAGGAGGGTGGCACAATCAATGGCCTTTCCCATGGGAAGTTTAGCTGTTTACTCATAGTGAAGCCTGGTAAGTAAATGCACAGATGCAATTTTGTCATTTTTGTCAGCTGCTGAATATTTCAATCCTGCTATGTTCCTAGATTAAAACATTTTTTTCTCATGTTCCATTGGTTGTCTCCTATAATAGAGATGCTAAAATTAAGGGCATTGTGTGAACATAAAAAAACTTAGATATCACACAAGCCTTTTAGTATTTTATCTTTTATAAAAAATAATTCATATTTTAGAATTACCCTTTGAAATGTGTGATTACCTAGGGAGAACTTTGCTTCTAATTAGTGCTTGGGTGAAGAGTTTTGGCCCCCCATTCCTTCCATTATATGCATATAGGCAGGATGGAAAAACAAACAATTATCAGCTCTTTATAGTGCTTGAAAATCAATGTCTTCCTGGAACTTAGTTGGTTTTCAATAAAGAAAAACACTAAGTAGGTTAGAGGAGGGTGAGTAGAATGCTATAAGCCTTGAACGTTTTCAGGAGCCACATCATTAAGCCCAAGCAAACAGTTGAGAGCGATAATACATTACTGTCTGTCCTTCACACCCCCACCCCCAGCACCTTTATAGAAACCACCCTTTTTGTTGAACCTTAAACTCCAGCGTCTTTAATGTAGTCGTCTGGAGATCCCTGGTGATCTTAGGAAGGCTTTAGGACTCAGACATTCCAGAGCAAAGCACTACCCAGCAGAGGGGGCGGGCGAGCATGGTAAGTGTGCACCAGGATGCTGGGTGTCTTGGAGGGGAACACCACACACACACACACACACACACACACACACACACACACATAAACGCACACACATTTCTCCTTGGCAAAGCAGTTTTGACTCTGGTAGAATGTAAGGAGGGCTGGAATGGATTCCAACAATCACTTACAGAAGATCTTTAAAAAAATTAGTTTAATAGCTAGTAATTAACTCCCTAGTGTATTATTCCTTCAGCTCTGTTGGCAGAAGGCTGAACACCTTTTAAAAAATGTATCACCATTTGACGACAGGAAATACTAACAAAAGGTCAGGTGCCATGGGAGACCCACCTTTGAGGGGCCCTTCCCTCTGCCCAAAGAGGAAGGGCAAGGAACTTCCCAGCTGAGGTCGGCTGCCCTTGCAGGGTACTGCCTGGGGCTGGTCTTTCCGTGGTGAAGCAATGGAGGATGGGGGGAGCGAAGGAGCGATGGCTAAAAATACAACTGCTTCCAAGAGAGACCTTCAAGTTCTCTGCTCGTGATGGATGGAACCCCGCTTGGTGGGGTCTGAGGCTGCGTCGGGCGCGCCCCAGGGTGCCCGGGACCCCGCTGGGATACCCGACCCGCGTCGGGCCTTCCTAGGCCGGGCGGTGAACCCTCGGTCCCCTCGCTGGGCTGCTCCGCTCCGTGGGAGTCCCGGGAGGGCGTGCAGCGGCGGCGAGTGCGCCTAGGGAAAGCCGGCGACAGGCGCGAAGGGAGCGGGGATCCTGGACGCGCCGTTTCTGGGCAGCGCAGCCCGCGGCGCCCTCGCCAACTGCTCCCGGACTCCCCCCACCCCAGCGCCCACCGAGGCTGCGGCCACCAGGGCTGGGGAGGGGCGCTGGGGGTGCCGGCGCCCGGCCGCGGGCTCAAAATGGCAGCACGATCGGCAGAGAGCCTCGCTCACTTACCCAGGGAGACCGGGCAAGCTCCGGGTCGGCGACCCGGCGCGCTGGTGACACAAAGGAACCATGGAGAAACTTTTCTCAGCTCCAG